CCTTCAGAATAGAATCTTTGCATTGGAATCTCAGTTAATTACAGTGAAGCAGCAAGAGCAGTAGTTTGAGTGTCCAAACTTAGTTCGATAACCACTACCTTGTCGATGTTCTGTTGCCGAAACATTTCAATCCATCCAAAAGCACGTATGGTCGTTACTCCTTGGATTGTCTCGCCAAAATGGGAGTAAATAGGAGAGCGAGTCAAGGAGGTGAGTCGTTGAAGTTGACGTGAACAGTGGATGAAATACCGCTGAAAATAAAAAAGTGAAAAAGGGGAGACGCGGAATCGTCTATCAAAAAATAGTATGTAACTCACCAAGATAAGTAAGTAAATAATGAATATCGGGATAATGACCAAAATGAAAAGAGGTGTTGAAATCGATATGATGATGCAGGTCTGAAAACATGAACGGTTGAGCGTGTGAATCTTCATAATAAGCGCATACCTTAGGCATCACCACTGCAGAGAAATCAGCAGTCATTCAATCAACACGAGCCACTTCTCGTCCCATTTCGAAGGACAGGGAATTCAAGAGCCTACCGCTTTTTCAACGTTCCCTTCATTTTGTCGACCCATCTCTAGCAAACCTATATATGTATCTACGGTATATTGCGGAGGCCATGGGTTGGTGCGCAGCCAGATAAAATTTCTCTTAAGTTCTAACGGGCAATTCAGTGTCAAAGTGAAAAAGAGGAGTTGAGAATCAGGTAGAAATAAGAAACGGTGAAAAGGGGAAGAAAGAACATAAAGGGAAGCTGGAGTCTGGTAATTGGAGCGCGGCAATTGCAGCGCGACAAGTCTGAACGCTGCCTCAAAGAGCGGGATTCCGAACCGTAGTGGCATTTTGAATGCAAGCTGATCTACACAATGACATGCAAAGTCCAGTTTATAAGCTCTGCCTTTTCCTGACCATTCTGGCACCAATAAGCCGAATGGTGCCTTTTCCGTCCTATCGCTCCAAAAAGAATATCAATTTTCTCACTTAGCAGACGCACGCTCGTCGCCCGCTTTTCTTATCATATACAGGGGGGGGGGGGGGCAAAAAAAGTCACTTTGCTTCATTGACTTTCGAGGCGCTATAAGTTACACTTTATGAATTCTGATCGGACATTTCCACACCATATTAGAAGCAATAGTTTAAATCATTAAATACTATTATGACACTCCGCCACAGCCTTCTGGAGGAGCGCCATCGAGAGATTCCTGCACGCAACCGCGATGTGGTCCCTGAGATCAGCGAGATAGTCGAATTATAATCAACAGCTCATAAATACCAATTAGGCTTTGCTTCCGAGCCTAGCCGGTCTCTCACCGTTCTTTTCCATACAACTTGTACTTGAGGTGCCGGTGTGGCTCGCGAGATCAGTGGTGACGATCGTAGTGATCATGTCGTGACCTACCGCGTTGGTTATCGACTGTATCGACTCTGGCGCCCAAAAATTGGGCGGGAAATGTCGACGCGGCCGAGGCCACCGCGCAGTTTTTTTTCTCTACAGTTGTCCTTCGGTGAGCAGCACGCTTCACAGGTCCTTCTACCTTCTAGAACCATCGTCGCTGACGCCCTGGGCGCCAGCTATGGTTCTCTTCTTCTCCGACCCTCGATTGCAGTGCAACCAGGGTCCACTCTTCTTCCTTCCACCTGCTGAATCCTGTCATCTGCAAGAATATCTAGTAGATTTCTGGCAAAAATCTTCCTGTTGCAGATGAGCCGCTCGAGGTCGGCCTCAAGGTCCAGCCGCAGCAGCTCCGACTCGGACCCTCTTTCCGCCTCTTCGAACTCGCAGGACAGGACAGTGGCCGGCAACTCTCGGTCGAGGTCAACGTCTCGTGAGAGGAGCGTTGACAAGGGGAGCGGTAGAAGCTACAGCTCACCACTAGCTCCTCCGGTGCCGGATATCCGCATTCCGAGAAGGGATGAGTTTCGTTCAGCCAAAGACGAGGTACCAGCGCCTCCAGCAGTGCCGCAGAAGACACTCCGGGTAAGAGTGTCTATTTCGGAGGTGAGTAATTGGCTTAAATAGTCTCTTGAGACTTTGTGGTGCCTCGAACTTATATTTGCTGCAATTTCAGCAGGCACGACAGCGTTTCGACTCCTTCGCAGCAGGAATGCCTTTGAGCCATGCCGAGAGATCTACCTTGCTTAGAGAGCTGCCGCTTGTTGCCTCTCCACTCGGGGAGGTACCAGCGATCGACGAACAGCTCCCGCGAGACAACGACCGTGCCATCCTCATACGCGAACCAGAACTTCGCACTTTACACGAGACATTGCTGAATGTTCTCAACATAGTGGAGCTGATCCGAAAACTGGGCTCAGACGGACAAGGAAGCGCCTTCGCAGCCTCAGTGATCGGATATATCGAAATACTGGACACCCTTGTATCAGGGTCCCTGATGGACCTAATTATACTTCGCAGAGAACGGTTCCTCAAAGCACTGGGAGTTGAACCGAGGAGAGCGATGCCTTCGTATCGCAGACTACCACTAGCGGGCTCAACTATGGTGCATCACGTGCGTCAGACACTGATCCCGGACCTGTTCGGGAAGGAACTGCGCGATGAATTAGCCTCAGCAGACTCCGCCATAACAAAATCCTTGCAGAAACTGAGAGCACAGAGCGCCAAGAAGAGAAAGGCCACACCACCGCGTCACTCGAAGGACAGGTTGGTCTCTTCAGACGGTTCTATCTCTCATTTGTCGCTTGTTTCGATTTCCGATAGAGAGTCGGTTTGCAAGGGTAGCGCTGTAGCACTTAGTCCTCATACTGGTCGCATAGCGGGTAGGCTAGCCGACTTTCTAGAAGCATGGGGGACGATTTCGTCAGATCCCTTCATATTAGAAACCATAAAGGGGTACCGGATTCCTTTTGGTAGTACTAAACCTTGCCTTTCACTTCCATTGTGTCAAATTCTAGCGACTCCCGCCAATCTTGCGGACGAGTTATCTTTACTTAGGAGAAAAGGGCGGTTATAGAGAAGGCTCCCCTTAACTCTCAAGTTTGGGTCTCTTCAATGTTTGGTATTCCCAAGAAGGATGGCTCCACAAGACCCATAATAAATCTGAGGCCTCTCAATGCCTACCTTGATATCCCCCATTTCAAAATGGACAACCTGCACACGGTAGCAGACGTGGCTTTCAAAGGGGATTTCTGTGCCAAAATCGATATGCGAGACGCTTATTTCGCAATCAACATATCTACAGAACACAGAAATTACCTGGCGTTTTGGTGGGACCAGACTCTGTACAGATTCACCTGCTTACCATTCGGGTTGGCAACGGCCCCCTATGTATACACCAAGCTAATGCGAATAGTGGCCGCGCATTTTCGTGCGCGCGGCATAAGAGTT